CTTAGTCCTGACTGTCCTGGATCTCACTGTGTTCACCAGACAGTCCTGGAACTCACAGAGATCTGCCTGCCTCTGCCCCCATGTGCTGGGATTATATGCCTGGCAATACTTTTTTCTGCTTTGAAAATTTTTTTTTATTTTTTAAAATCATCACATAATGTGTAAGGTATCATATAACTTTTTTTGTTTTTGCTGTTGTTTTCTTTTGTTTTTGGATTTTCGAGACAGGGTTTCACTATGTAGCCTTGGCTATCCTGGAACTCACTCTTTAGACTAAGCTAGCCTTAAACTCAGAGATTCCCCCTGCCTCTACCCCTAAATGCTGGGGTTAAAGGCATGCGCCACCACCACCCTGTTCGTTATAACATTTCCAACAAAGTGTATTTTGTGGTTTTCCTTCCCTCCCATCTCCGCACTGCCACACTGCCCTGTTAAACACATCCTCCCTCCTTCATAGGCATTGTCTCAGCCAGCTTAGACTGGCCTCACGCTTGCAGTGCCTCCCCCTGAGTGCTGAGATTGTAGGTGTGTGCTACATGGCATGGTTAATATGATCCTGGGTATCTAGCCACACCTCCACAAATACTACACAACCACTTGACCACCGAGGTATTTCTAGCCCAGTGATTGCATGGGATTTAATATACTAAAAACTACCGATTAGAAACTTTAATGAGTTTAAAGTGTGAATTTAACAGTCTTGTTTGTTTATTTATTTATTTTAGTTTTTTGAGGCAGGGTTTCTTTGTGTAGTTTTGGAGCTTGTCTTGGAACTCGCTTTGAAACTAGACTGTCCTTGAACTCACAGAGATCCTCCTGCCTCTGCCTCCCAAGTGCTGGGATTAATGGCGTGCACCACACAACCCGGCTTTTTTTTTTTTTAAGATTTATTTATTATGTATGCAGTGCTCACATGTGTGCCTGCATGATAGAAGAGGGCACCAGATCTCATTACAGATGGTCGTGAGCTACCATGGTTGCTGGGAATTGAACTTAGGACCTCTGGGAGAGCAGCCAGTGCCCTTTAACCTCTCAGCCATCTCTTCAGCTCCAAACTTTATAGTTTTAATAAAAATTGCTACCAAAGAGCATCTTTTGAGCATATGACTTGTTGCTGAGGTTTGGCAGCCTTCGGTTCAACAAGGGAAAACTTATTATTTGCTGAAAGCTCCCAAGTGCTCCTCCTCCCAGCCTTGCAGTGTCTGCATTCTTAGTGCACGTCAGGTGAACGCCCCATGTGGGAAGGCTGGAGAGTGGCCGGGCTGAGTAGGTTCTCACAGTTTATGTTGTCTGTAAAGGGAAGAAGCCTATTTTCCCCAGTGGCTTTATGAAGTGAACTGCTTTTCCTTCCGAGGGTGGGAAAGAGATAGAGTGTCTGCTGAAGGGTAAGAGCTCATTCTTCAATATCGAGATGCCTGTTGAGGTTTGCACCGGCATCTCAGGGCATTCAGGCATTTAGGTTGGTCTACTGGTTGTATCTGCATTCACTGTAGTTACCACAGCAAACTTTGTCGGCTCTGTAAAACACCTCAATTCTTGCCCCTTTTTTCTTTGCCAGTGTGTAGAGTTTGACAACAGTGCCGAGAGCTGAGGAGAAAGAGAAGATGGAAAGGAGTCTAGCAAGTAAAAATGTCGTAGCGTTCTGTGTGGTGACTTTTCCTGTTGGTGGCTCGGTTTATTTAGGAGATAAAGAAGATACTGAGGCCACTGGCAGTTTCATCATGTCCTAAGTAGAGGGGTGAACGAAATGTCCCGTTCAGTAAAGTGCTTATCTTCTAAGCAGAGGACCTGGGCTTGAGTCCTTGGCATCCAGATTAAAAAGCTAAGCATGGCAGCACTTGTGGAGACAGAGGATCTGGCCACATTGTTGAGCTCTCCTGTTCAATGAGAGCTTAACACATAGGTGGAGTGCAATAGAGGAAGACCCCAGCCTCAGCCTCCACACATGTACACATCTACCCATGCACACATGCACGTGTAACTACAAAAATAAAGGAAAATTAAAACCAAGTGGGAAGTTTTTCTCCTCATTCTATGTAGTGGGTCACAGGTATGGATGACATGGTAGTATATATCTATAATTCTAATTACTCGAGCGCTGATATTTATAAAACGTATGTGACACATAAATGAACTTAGTGAATTCTGTGTTCCATCCCCATGATAGCTTTGTGTGTGGTTTCCCAAATTCAAAAAGATAACAAGTGACTTTCATCTCAAGCATTCCAGATGAGGTATACTCAGCCTGTAAAGGGGAGTGTGTCATGATTAACATGCAAAGCAGAATAAGAAGTGTAAGAAATGCCTAAGGTGGCTCTGAGTGTAGCTTAGCGGTAGAGTACCGTGTGCAAGGCCGTGGGTTCCATCTCCAGCGTTTCCAGTGCAGGGGAGCTAACAGATAGGTGGGAAGCAAGGAAGACTTCACAGAGTCCTTTTTGGTACCTAAGATACCCAGAGCAGAGCCCCTTACATTTCTTTCCATCAGTCTCTCCTATCCTTTTGTTTTGTTTTGAGAAAGAGTTTTTCTGTTTAACTGTCCTGGAACTCGCTCTGTAGACCAGGCTGGTCTCAAACTCAAGAGATCTGCTTGCCTCTGGTGTGCGCCACCACCATCCGGCAGTCCCATCTATTCTTGTGTATCTCCCATGAAAACATGAGCAGGACAGTGTCCTCATTGCTTGGCCCTGCATCTGTACCCAAATGTGCTGGGTTTAACAGGTGTTGCCTGACTCCAGACACTTCTGTTTGATCCCGTCCCCAGTCCTGCCCACCCAGCCAGCTCTTTATTGGACTACTTAGGCCTCAGGGATCTGGGCAGAAGTTCTAGGGTTATGCACTCCAGATCTAAGCTCTGCCTGAGCCCAGGCAGCAGCTGTTTCAAATCTGCTGCTTCTGCCTCACTTGCTTAGGTATACAACATTGCACATGATGCCCTCAGCATCTCCTTACCTCTCAGCCCATTGGTTGCTTGTATTGTTGGCTTGAGAAATTGGTCTGCCCAGTGGTCTCGAAGATAGCAGGACTTGCTGACCTGTTTGATTCCTGGAACCCATGTAAAGGTGGAAGGAGAAAACCAGCTCCACAAAGCTGTCCTCTGACCTCCACATGTGTGCTGTGGCATATGCACCGTTTCCCACCACCCAGACATACATATATACACAGTGAAATATTTAAGGAGGCCAGCGAGGTGCCTCATTGGTTAGAGCACTGATTGCTTTTCCTGAGTTCAGTTCCAAGCAACCACACAGTGGCTCATAACCATCTGTAATAGGATCTGATGCCCTCTTCTGGCCTGCAGGGTTACATGCAGAGGGAGCACTCATACTTTAAAAAAAAGTACATTAAAAAACATTTAAAGAAAACTGCAGGGGCTGGAGAGGCGATGATTCAGTGGTTAAGAGCACTGGCTGCTCTTCAGAAGACCCAGATTCAATTCCCAGCACCTAGATGGCAGCTCACAACTGTCTGTAACCCCAGTTCCAGGAGATCTGACACCTTCACACCAATGCATGTTAAATAAATTTTAAAAAAGAGAGAGAAAGAAAACTGCAGGGGCTGGAGAGATGGCTCAGAGGTTAAGAGCACTGACTGCTCTTCCAGAAGTCCTGAGTTCAATTCCCATCAACCACATGGTGGCGCACAGCCATCTATAGTGAGATCTGGTGCCCTCTTCTGGCATGTAAGCATACATGGAAGGAATGTTGTATACATAATAAATAAATAAATCTTAAAAAAAAAAAAAGAAAGAAAACTGCACTGATTGCCCATTCAACAGTTTCCACCCCAGCGTAGGAGAACCTTAGGCTGGATTAAGGTAGTGAGGAACACAAATTGATGGGGTATGTTCTGTCAGGGTAAGGTGGTTTGAAACCCTCCACCTGGAGTATTTTTGGATATCCTGGCTATTGTATGAGGGTAGAGGAGAGAGATACCAGTATTTGAATAACCCCAGCTGTTGCAGGTCTTATGTGAGACAACTGGGCACAGTCCATTCTAAGAGGGAGGGCATCTTCAGAATCCCTGTGTGAGCTTCCCAAATATTCCTGCAGGTAACACTAAAGACATCTCAAGGACAGTTATAGTGATATTCATGTTTTAGTAAATAAAGCTTGCCTAAAGATCAAAAGATAAAACTAAGATACTAGAGGCCAGGCAGTGATGTCACACACCTTTAATCCCAGGATTTGGGAGACAGAGGCAGATGGATCTCTGTGAGTTCAAAGCCGCCCTGGGCTACTCAAGATCAATTCAGAAACAGATCCAGGTGGTGGTGATTCACCTTTAATCTCAGTTTTAGGGAATCACATACTTTTAATCCCAGCACTAGAGGGGAATATAAGATGGGACAAGCTCAGGGCTCAGTCTGCAGTCGCCCAGCCTTGGTAGAGGAGAGACTTTTCTGGTGGCTTGGCTGTTTTGCTTTTTCTAATCTTCAGCTTAAACCCCAATATCTGTCTCTGGGTTTTTATTATTCGTGCTACAGACAGTGATCAGAGTTAGTCCAGAGGGCACTTTACCAATGGGTACCAAAGCAGAAAGCAGTGTCAACCCTAAGCGTCTCCATGTTTCTTCCCTCATCCCACAGTGCCAGCTTGGTTCATGGTATAGGGAGGTCTTTGGGGGTGGATCGGTGTATGTGGGCAGCAGGGAACCACAGACTCGGGGGAGGCTGCTTATGTTCTTGTGAACAGCCCTTTTCCCTATGATTAGTGGCTCGGCCTGGGAAACCTCAGATGGCTCTGCCAAGCTGCCGCTGAGCACAGCTGGCCTCTGCCACACACAGCGTTCATGTGGCCTGTGGCTGCTGCCTTTCATGCTGGTGTGGAGCGTAGTTGTTGGGACATATCTAAAAGCCAGAGTCCAGCCTCAGCCCTGGACCGCTCCTGTCCCAGTGGGACTGGCACTCCAGAGCAGGGCCCTCGGGGATGGTGGCCTTTTGCTGGAAAGCAAGGAGCTTCACTGTGCTCCTGGCCCACCCCTCATAGACTGTCTCTCTGCAGGTACCTGAAGGAGTTCCGCACAGAGCAGTGTCCGCTCTTCGTGCAACACAAATGCACACAGCACCGGCCCTACACCTGCTTCCACTGGCACTTCGTGAACCAGCGCCGCCGCCGTTCCATCCGCCGTCGGGATGGCACCTTTAACTATAGTCCAGATGTCTACTGCACCAAGTACGACGAGGCCACAGGCCTCTGCCCAGAGGGTGACGAGTGAGTGCCCTGCCAGCTCTCCTTCTGGATCAGATGCCCTCAGAATAAGCGTGGTACATGCCAGGCAGCTAGCCTACAAAATAGGCCAAAGTTGGGCTCACCCTTGCCCTGAGCTAAAGGGACAGCAATAAATGGGAATGGCTTTCGTTTCTTTTGCCTATTGCATGAAAACAAAAAATTAGCCTTTCTTCCACTAAATCCCACAAGACTACATTTGAACCAAGATGATGCCCTGGGTTTGTTTCTGGTCCTCCAAGTCTTATCCCCACCTGCTGTGCTGTTCTACACAGTCTGCACTGCCATGGCAGCTTAGAAAAAGAGCCTCTCTAGTGTCCCTGTTTGCTGATCGTTGTTGTTTGAGACAGGGTCTCATAACGAAACCCTGGGTGGCCTGGAACTCACTCTGTAGACCAGGCTCTCAAATTCACAGAGACCAACTGCCTCTGCCTCCCAGGGGCTGGGTTTAAAGGCGTGTGCCATGACAGCCGGCTTATTTGCTAACTTTAAATGTCTGTTGAGGAATTGAGTCTATCACTGGTAGCAAGTGAGGTGGCAAAGCCCGAGACATTACTCAGAGGGACCATTGAGGCCTTGTTGCTATTGTTTTAACCTCAGAAAAGTGCTGGGAAGCTCTTCTGGGTTCTGTACTACAGCATTCTGAGCTTTTCCTACAATAGCCGACCTTTTTCACAGAGGTCAAGACTGGCTGATCTCCTCGCAAGCCTATTAAAGCTTGTAGGGCACGTGTGCAAGTTTCGAGGGGTTGATTTTTGGAAGCCCCTGAGTTGGGTAGCATTTATTATTCAAACATCTGTTCATCCAGAAGTGTGTCCCCTGAAGGAGCTATAGGCAGCTGCCTGGGGTACCAAACCCTTCAGATCCCAGCCTTTGAGCACAGAGCCGTCCTGGCCACAGACTTCATCATTGTCTTCCCCGGTCTTTCTTCACTGCACTCTCTGAATCGTGGTGGCGGCCCTTCAGCAGTGGCCTCGGGAGGCGGAGGTGACTGACTTCCCCTGCTGTGTTCCAGGTGCCCATTCCTGCACAGGACCACAGGGGACACCGAGCGCAGGTACCACCTTCGTTACTATAAAACTGGAATCTGCATCCATGAAACAGACTCAAAAGGCAACTGCACCAAAAATGGCCTGCACTGTGCTTTTGCCCACGGCCCACATGACCTCCGCTCCCCTGTTTATGATATCAGGTAGGCCGATGCTGGGCCGAGGGGAGGGGCAGGCAAGGAGATCAGCCACTGTTGCTGCTTACTTCAACGAGACAAGAGATTGATGACACTGTTTCCCATTCTCTCATTCCCCTTCCCACCTCTCCGTCCTTTCCTTTTCTCTCAGGGAGCTCCAAGCCATGGAGGCCTTACAGAATGGTCAGACTGCAGTAGAGGGCAGCATAGAAGGCCAGTCAGCTGGGGCTGCAAGTCATGCCATGATAGAAAAAATCCTCACTGAGGAACCTCGGTGGCAAGGTATAGGCAGCCTCAGGTGGCGATTGCACTCCCCTCTCCATAGCTACCCAGTGACTTGGCTTGAAACCACCACTTCTGTTAGGAGAACTCTAGCCCTTTCATCCCATCTGGAAACTTTAAGTATTTATGTGTATAAGTGTTTGTCTGACTGTATCTCTGTGCGCTGTGTGCGTGCTTTATGGATGGTTGTAACCTGACTCACTGAACGGAACCCAGTCCTACAAGAACAAGTGCTCTTAACCACTGAGCCATTTCTTTAGCTCACCTCGCCCCTTCATCGCATGTTAAACTTACATTTAAAAGGCACTATAAGGGAGTTTCCAGACAGACGAAATTCCCAAGATTCCCTTGGGCTTTCATATACACACCCTCATCCATGCTTTTTCCCTCCTGTTGCCTACCTGGCCTATAAAGACATGGTCCCGTTCATGTCTTGCATGAGAACCCCAGCTCAGGGACCCTTCTTCCCAGTAGCTGTCCCCTGCACTCTACTCTGCTGTTGTTGGGGGCTCTGACTCCATTCCCTGACCCCTGCCCTCTGCCCTCTGGCCTTCTGTGCAGAGACTGCTTATGTCCTGGGGAACTATAAGACAGAGCCATGCAAGAAGCCTCCACGACTGTGTCGCCAGGGCTATGCCTGTCCCTACTACCACAACAGCAAGGACCGGCGGCGGAGTCCCCGGAAGCACAAATACAGGTTCTTTGGCCCCAAGAGGCTGCCATGGGAGGGGGAGAGGCGAGGAAGGGTTTGTGACCGACACCACTGCCTCCATGGTTCTCAGGGCGGTGGGAGGGCAAGCCCTGGGGGTTACAGGGCCCAGTTAGAAAGGAGGGGGCTGTGGAAGAGACTGGTGGGAGCCCTGACCCGTTCTTGCATGAGGCCCATCCATTTCTGAGTCTTTAGGGTGTGTCCTGTGGGACATGTGTGTGGCTGTGGCCTGACTCTTTGGGCTGTCAGAGGTTCAGTGCCTGGCTGAAGGGTGCAAAACTGTGTCTTCCTTGGTGATGTGGCCAGGGCCAGAGGAATAGCCTGGCCCTAGTGAGACCCTTCCTGTGTAGCTGGTCTTCCCCATTTCTACACCTGGACTTGTGAGACAGGGAGACCAGAGAGGGCCCTGTACAGGGACCCAGGTGGCATTGTGCAGGTCCCAGTCTCGTCCTCTCTTGCCCCTCTCTGATCCCTTCTCATTGGACCAGGTCATCTCCATGCCCAAACGTCAAACACGGGGACGAGTGGGGAGACCCTGGCAAGTGTGAGAATGGGGACGCCTGCCAGTATTGCCACACCCGCACAGAGCAGCAGTTCCACCCAGAGGTAGGCTGTGGGGAGGGGCAGGAGTGACTTACCATCTCCACTTTGGAGCACTAGGAGACAGGCGAGAATGGGGGCAGGTAGTGGTGCTATTCCAGGAGAGGGCTTTGTGGGTAGTGTCTCAGCATGTAGCCGCTTTGGTTCTAAGCCTGCCCTCCCTCTGCTTCCAGTTTGATTCCTAGCCCACCCAGCCGAGAAGGCACGGATAGGACCTAATAGTCTGGCCGTTCCGGACTTTACACTACTTGTGGTACTTACACCTCGCGGAGCGTGGCAGATCAGAGTCCAAGGGACAGGGACAGCAGCCTCCCTGGTGTACTTCTCCCTTCACAGTGGGGTCTGTGGAAGCCAGGGCACAGTGACGCAAAGACAGCCTTATGTGGCTGTAGACATCACAGGCAGCAGTTAAACCCAGTAGAGATCACAGGTCCAGTTTCCCTGAGGGGTGTTTTGAAGGTGACTCTGTGCTTTTTGGGATCTTGGCTCAGTATAAGGAGGCATATTCATGGGTGTCACCCCAGTTCCCTTGTGATGGCAGGTGGGACCTTTGACTCCAGGAGGAGGGTGTTGATTAATGGTATAGGCTGTCCCGAGAGTTGAGCAGGTTGATCAGGAGAAGCTTGGTGGGCGGTGTGTGTCTGCCACCCCAGCATGAGACAGTGAGGCAGGAGAGTTAGGAGCCGAAGGCAAGCATAGGCTGTCTATCAATATCCTGTCCCTAGAAAAAGACACTGGTAAAGACATAGGGAACTAGGAGGGGAGAAAGTGGAGAGGAATTCCAGGCTAGCCCTGCCTCAATGAAAGTGTCTAACTGTGGTTGAACTTGTCCTGTTTCTGCCCTGCCCCCTCCAGATCTACAAATCCACTAAGTGCAACGATATGCAGCAGTCGGGTAGCTGTCCCCGAGGACCTTTCTGCGCCTTTGCCCACATAGAACGTATGTACGACGTTCGCATGGTCGCGGCAACTCCCTGTCTTTCTGTTCTCCCCTAACCTCTGCTGAGGCTCAGGCCTGGGGGCATCCCCACTGGAAGTTACAGTCACCTGGCCACTCTGGACGCCCTGGTACAGCCTCCAGGAGCCTGAGATAGACTCAGAGGTCCATGCCCTGCTGGGCATTGAGTCCCAGGCAACACTGAGGCACCAAATGTTAAAAGCAACTTGATTGATCCCAGCCAGCTACCCCGTGTCACCCATGAGCATGAAGCTCTTCCCTGCTGAGCCCTGCTTGGTTCACTGGAGCAGAGCCCTCTGTCAGAGTATAAGGTAGCTTCCATAGGTCACTAAAGTTTTGGGTAACGTCCTAAAGAGAGAGAGGAGAGAGGTGGATAGGTTAAATTAATTTCAGTGTTTTTACTAAGTCCAATGTAAAATGATAGCATAGCTGGGTGTGGTGGTGCACACCTTTAATACCAAGCCCTCGGGAGCAGACGCAAGGCCAGTGCGGTCTACAATAGTGAGTTCCAGGGATATGTACAAAGACCCTGCCTCAAAATAAATACATAAAATATTTTATAAGTAACTAACTTAAGAAGTATCAAGCTGTTTACCGTGTTTGTGCCGAGTCTTAGAGACCTCTAATCATTGTAACCTCTGCATCCATTTCAGGTTAAGTCGGCTCATTAAGTGCTCAGTAGCGTCAGGTGGCTTGTGCTGCAGCGTGAAACAGCCCCACGCTCTGTTCCCGTGGGGACTGGGTTGTTGCCTGTCTCCCTGCAGATCAGGGCTCTGCTTCCCCTCACTCTTTCTAGGCTCAGCTCTGTCTCAGAGATGAGAGAATAAACAGAGAACTCTAGGAGGAGAAACATGGAGGGCACAGGGAGCTGGAGCTGTAGGCACTGCGACCGCCCAGTTGCCACAGAGAGGGGATTAATAGTTTGGGCTATACAAAATGGGGTTGGAATGAGCTCTTCTGTCTCCTATCTCTGTTATCTTAGGAGACTTGGCTGACCTTTCTGAACCTCCGTTTCCTTTTCTGTGTAATGAAGCCCATCATGTGACTTCAGTAACTTTCAGTTAACTGTAGAAGGTGCAGTGGAAACAGTAACTTAATTCCCCGTGGTGGCAAGGACATGTATGGCCTCCTTTAGAAGATATGCAGATATAATTTACGGAGACAGACCTCACTTCGCGCCTGCTGACCCCACCCTCTCTTGCAGCGCCACCCTTAAATGATGACATGCAGCCTTCCTCAGCTGTATCCAGCCCCACCCAGCCGGGTCCTGTTTTGTACATGCCATCTGCTGCCGGAGACTCGGTCCCTGTGAGCCCCTCCAGCCCGCATGCCCCTGACCTCAGCGCCGTACGTGCCTGTCTTGGGGAGTGGGTGGGCACCTTGCCTGCCCAGGAGCAAGCTCCTGCCTCTCCTCTGCCCCAGGAGCTTGAGGCCCTGGTATTTGTTCTGGGGCTGAGGGCAGGGAGGTGGGGATGCATCTTTAGAGCCAGTAGTGATCAGCCTGGGCAGGGCTGGGATAAGCCTGTCACTACTGTCTGTCAAATCCCTTATGAGACTTAGGGGTCCCTGAGTGCTTATTGTTGCTCATTGACCACAGCCCTTTGAAGCAGGACTGGAGGGTGGCCATTCCCCTGTCCACACTGTACCCATTGCCCACCGCCCACCTGTCCCCTTCTGCAGCTCCTCTGTAGGAACAGTGGCTTGGGCAGCCCATCTCACCTCTGCAGCTCCCCACCAGGCCCTAGCAGGAAGACTTCAAACCTGGAGGGCCTGGTCTTCCCTGGGGAGTCCAGCCTTGCCCCTGGCAGCTATAAGAAAGCTCCTGGCTTCGAGAGGGAGGACCAGATGGGAACAGAGTACCTGAAGAATCTCAAGTGCCAGGTAAAGGGTGCAGGGGCAGCAGAGGACACTGAGATTGGCCTTTTGCATGGGGCAGAGCAGCTTAGAGGTGAGGCCTGGCTCCCTGGGGGGAAGGACACTAAGAACTAGAACTGAGTCCATTTTGAGCGTCTTCAGGATTGGGCAGAGAGTGGTATCACCCCGCTTCACTGCTGAGGAGGCTGCACAGACCCCTCGCACCCCGGAGCTGTTTCTCCTGTTTCCTTTATAAACCTGTATTCACTCTACAAAAGGCCGCACAGCTTCCCCAGAGCCATTGAGTCAGTCAGTAGGTAAAAGATGTCCCCTTTCTCTCTCAAACTGTGATGTCTAATGAAATGACAGGGCCTGGGGGACCAGAAGAGAGGACTTCCTAATAGCAGGAGACAAACCTGGGTTTGTCCAGAGGTTAGTCACCTAGGAGGACAGAAGCCTGCCTGTTCAGGGTAGGAGGGGACGGGGAGAGGATATAGAAGTGGAGAGAGAGAAACCTGGGAAGAGGAAGCGGGTTGTGTGTGGCAGGTGACAGCTGCTGTCACTCCTTGCCCTTCCCTGTATCTGCAGCCTCAGTGGACCTAGCAGGGCCAGGTGGACACTAGGTTTGGATCTGCCCAGTACCACAATCACTTCCTGCTCCCTCATTTTTCTCTTAGGCTAAACTGAAACCCCATTCGCTAGAGCCCAGGAGTCAAGAGCAGCCTCTGCTTCAACCTAAACAGGTACAGAGCTCCTGGCTCCTGTCTCTGCTTTGGTATCACTGGATAGGACAGGCCCAGAGCCCCAGCAGGTTTCACCAATTAGGGTACCAATTCCTCCACAAACTAAGGAAGGACTCAGGCGGGCCCAGCCCCAAGTCCAGAGAGGGTGGGGGTCAGGCCCCGGGCTCATCTCCTCCTAGACTTACCATTCACCAGGAATGATTAGGGAATATCCCAGTGTCAGCCCTGCAAGGGTAAGTAGCTAATGGCTTCCGTGTTTGACTGTCCACTTTCTGCCACTCAGCAAGGTGGGCCTGGGACGGCCAGCCAGGCCTGTAAGTACTGGCTGCTCTAGCCCACCTGCCTTGTGCTAGTTCTGCCACAGCTTCTGAAGGCAAGCGCCCCATTGCCTCTCTTCACTCTCGTTGCAGGACGTGCTGGGCATCCTCCCTGTGGGCAGCCCTCTGACCTCAAGCATCTCTTCCAGTATTACCTCCAGCTTGGCAGCCACTCCCCCCAGCCCTGCAGGCACCAGCAGCGCCCCTGGCATGAATGCAAATGCTCTGCCCTTCTATCCCACCAGCGACACGGTAGAGTCGGTCATAGGTAACTAGGCAGGGTTTGTTTGCAAGCCTAGGCCTGGATCTGGAGTCAGAGACACAAGGTGTCTGAAGTGAGACCTGGATGAGCACCGCAGACTTTAGACACGGGGAGAGTCAGCATAGATGCTCTGGGTCCTCTGAGTTCAACATGGAGGCCAAGACTAGGCCATGGAGCCTTTCATGAAAGTCACACCACGCAGCCCTAGGTGGTTCACTAGGCTTCCTTGGGAAGTGTCTTGCACATCTGTCCTCAGAGTGCTGGCAGTTAGACACTGGTGCTGTGGACTGGGTGTGCTCAGGGGCAGCATGAGTACTTAGCATGGGTAAGGTGCTGGGTTTGGTCCTCAGCAGCAAGAGGAAGAAGTCAGGCCCCTTTCCATCATTACTTATGTTGCCCACTTTGTGCCAGGCCCTGGGGAATCAGGTGGTAGTGTGCTGCTCCTGCCTTCTAGGAGAGAAACTGTACCTCCTGCCAGGCCAGTTTAGCAGGGAGGCACCAGCGTTTGTCAAAGGCCCAGAGCTGCTGACTCCCAGTAACTCAGGGTGAAACTCCAGGAGGCTACACCACACACCTCTGTCAGTTAAAGCTGCAACCTTGAAGTCAATCATTTTTTCTTCTTGAGATGAGATTTTGCTATACATAGCCCAGGCTGGTCTCGAACTCTTAGTCCTCCTGCCTCGGCTTTCTGAAGGCAGGGATTACTGACATGCCACACCACAACACACTGGATTGGGCCTTGATTCCTCTTGGAGTATGAAAGAAGGCTTCATAAAGTGCTGAGCAGAGAAACAGCAAAGGCAGTAAATGAGGTGCTCAGGATCAGGAAACCTGGAGCCAAGGGCATGTTTCTTGGGAGCCCACACACTCCGTTTTCTATTCCTAGAGTCTGCCTTGGATGACCTGGACCTAAACGAGTTTGGAGTAGCAGCCCTGGAGAAGACTTTTGATAGCAGCACAGTGCCCCACCCCAGCAGCAGCACCATCGGTACTGGGCAGGGGTGGGCCGGGAAGGCCTGGGGGGCTTGGGACTTCACCTGTACCCACATGGTTGGCCTGGTCCTCACGCAGTCCACCCTTTGGGTCTCTTACAGGTGGCAGTCTGGTGCAGAGTTCTGCACCTGTGAACATCCCCGGCTCCTTAGGCAGCTCAGCCTCCTTCCACTCTGCTTCTCCGTCCCCTCCCGTCAGCCTCTCCTCACATTTCCTGCAACAACCCCAGAGCCACTTGAGTCAGTCAGAAAACACATTTTTGGGGACCTCAGCATCACATGGATCTTTAGGTAAGAAAGGGACTGGGTAAGAACCTCGTGCCTTGTAGCAAATTCCCTTGTCTGCTTCCTGTGACACTTCAGCCCAGCTGTAGGGGAGAGCTAGGGCTTCAACCTAGACATGTTCTCTGATACCTACACGGTTGGACAAGTGGTCGGAAGCCACACTGCTGCCTCAGCTTCCTGTGCTGCGGAATGTGTGTAGTGGTTGTGAAGAGGAAGGGACGTGCCCAGGCATCTAAGGTGAAGGCCTGGTCTTCAGTGCAGTTTTGCCTGATCATACTAGTGTGGCTTAGTGAGCTCAGGCCTAGCATGGCCCAGACTCTGGGTCTGATCCCCAGGACCACACACAACCATTGTATTCATTCACCCAGACCTAGCAGCTGGTCACATCATCAAAGATCACCAAAGAGCAAAGGGAACAGTTAGACAGGCCCACCCAGTCTCAAGTGTTCCCCTCCTGGCAGGGAGTGGCATCAGGGACCCATATCTAGCCCAGGCTGCTCTTTGCCCCGCCCAGCCTTAGAACAGAGGGGATCTGTGTAATCTCCAGGTTCAGTAGTGAGACTTGCAGTAGGGAACCTACAGGCTGGGCCACCACACCCAAGCACCTTGGCTCCTGGAATGGAGGCTGTGGGAAAATGTTCCCTGAGGTATTTGGTACACACAGCATTCAACAGAGGCCCCTGCCTCTCATCAACAGCTCCCTGGCCCTCACCCTCACTCCTCAGCTATTCAGAGAGCTCCTAGGGGATTCTGGATCTCCAGTCAGAGAGGGGACTTAGAGCCTCTGAAGTTCTGCTCAGCGTAGGGACTTCCTCCCTTCCGCCAGGATTTTAGAGCACCTTCTCAGTTTGGAGGCGGCTTCTGTGCTGAGGTTGGATCCAGTTAAATGCTGATGCTGTCTTTCTGACTCCCATACTCGGAAGATACTTCACCTGAGCTCTACCTACTGTCCTGCAGGTGACCCTCTTGCACTGCTCCATAGATACAAGTGCCACCTAACACCCTCTGTCAGCAGCGCTGGAAACAGAAGCACACTGGCTCCCAGTCAGGGGATCTAATGTACAGGGTGCTCTCTCTGTAGAACCAGCTCCGCTACCAGAGTGAATAACACCTGCACAGGGAGGAGAGGTGCAGGTGAACAGTTTGTCTCTCCTGGCAGGATAGGTTCAGACAGTGCACACTGTAAGTCTGTCACAGGACAAAGTGTGCTCGCGCTCTCTCTCTCTCTCTCTCTCTCTCTCTCTCTCTCTCTCTCTCTCTCCCCCTCTCCCCCTCTCTCTCTCTTTCTCTTGGCTTTTTGAGACATGGTTTCTCTATGTAGCTCTGTAGCCCTGGCTGTCCTGGAACTCAGAGATCCACCTGCTCTGCCTCCCGATTGCTGGAATTAAAGGCATGTGCCAGCAACGCCTGGCACTCTTTTTTAAAAACAAGGTCTTATTATGTAACCCAGGCTAGCCTCAAACTCAGAAATCAGCCATGAAGTATGCACCATCACACCTGGTCCAATGTCTTCTTTCTTTCCCCCATGTGCTGGTATTGCTCATAGGGGGAAAATGTCTGAAACCTGGATCATTTAGTGGGAAAGGGAGCAGAACCGAAATCACTGGAATCGTGTGTGGGGGTAGAAGGAAGCCAGAACAGTGTACAGTGTCAGCAGGCAGCTGAGTGGGGTGGGGGACAGACAGCCTGTAGACAGCAGGCTTCTGGAGTCAGACGCTCAGGCTCTCCTGCTCTCCTGTCCCCTTAGTGGTTCTTGCTAGCGCGTTCTTTGTCCTGCCTGCAAAACAAGAAGTCCCAAGCTTCCCTGGCCCCTCCTGCTCCAGCCTGCTCATCAGGGTGCTGGCTGGTGGCTCTGGCCTATCTGGTCTTGTCAGTCAGGACCCTGCTCCACCTCCCAGTGGGGTAAAGGAGCTATGCAAGAGCTGCACAGCTAAGATGCCTTCCCAGACTGCCCTCCACACAGCCCTAAGCCCCTGAGATTCACGTGTACTGGCCGACAACACTGAAGTGTAGACCTGACCTAGCCAGCGATCTCTTCACGTGCTCTTCTTACATACTCACCCGGTGTTCAGCCAGCCCCTGGCAGCCCAGGAAGGGCTGGCCAGGGCCTGGGCCTAAGCCCTCCACAGCTGATGTTCCTCCCCTCCCTGGGGCAGGTCTGAACGGGATGAACAGCAGCATCTGGGAGCATTTTGCCTCTGGAAGCTTCTCCCCAGGCACTTCCCCTGCCTTCCTATCAGGGCCAGGGGCTGCTGAGCTGGCCCGGCTTCGGCAAGAGCTAGATGAAGCTAACGGCACCATCAAGCAGTGGGAGGAGTCCTGGAAGCAGGCCAAGCAGGTACTGGGCCCCACGCCCACCTGCAGTACCCAGTGCCTGGTGGCATCAAGCCCAAGCCCATCCTACACAGCAGGCATTCGGGTGGGGGAAGCAGGGGCCTAAAGAACAGAACAAAAATGTGTTTGCCCTCCCCCACACTGGTCTTGCCAGTCGGAATGTTACAGTGGCTGGCACCACAGGCCTGGGACTCCATATGGGAATTGTTTTTAGAGTGGCCCCAGGACCTCCTGCCTGTCTCTGCTTCTAGATTCTGAGCTAGGCCATCTGTCCAGCTGCTACCAGCTGCCTGTGGGGTGCAGACTAGGATGTGAGCCCTGTCTTGTGTCCCTGTCATGCTGAGCCCGTCCCCTTCCCTGCATACAAAGGGAAGGTCTGCTGAGGTCCTGAAACCTTTCTTCTCTGCAGGCCACAGCAGCCTTCTCTCTGCCCCCTCCCCAGACAGCAGGCCCAGCTTCCTAGCAGGCCCCATGGCCAGAGTGGCCCACACTGGCTCCTGGAGATGCTCTCTGGGAGGGGGAGGGCAGGGGACCAAGGAGAGGGGGCCCTCGTGATCAGACACTGCATATTGGGCCCGCAGGCTTGTGATGCCTGGAAGAAGGAAGCAGAGGAGGCCGGTGAGCGAGCCAGTGCAGCCGGAGCAGAGTGTGAGCTGGCCCGCGAGCAGCGAGATGCACTGGAGCTGCGGGTGAAGAAGCTGCAGGAGGAGCTGGAGCGGCTACATACTGGGCCAGAAGCCCAGGCCCTGCCGGCTGCCCCCGACCTGGAGGCCCTCTCGCTCTCCACCCTGTACTCCCTCCAGAAGCAGCTACGGGTCCACCTGGAACAAGTGGATAAGGTCAGCAGCCCTGAGGGTCAGGAGTATGGGGTGGGACCTTCCCGAAAGCCCAGTGCTAGGCTGATAATGATGGACGTTTGTTGGAAGATGAGAGAATGCCCTTATGGAGGCAAGGAAGTAGTGGCGGGACAGTGTCCCCTCCCTGTACCGTTAACCTAGGCTTAGTCATGTGCCTTGCCCACAGTGTGTTCTCTGGTTGTCCATACTTCAGAGTGGTCAGGCCACAGGTGCCTGCTGGTCCCTAGGGGTAGCCTGCCTGCTGGAAGCAGAAGGTTTTTGAGAGTTTTTCAGTAGTCAGTCCCTTGGCATGCCCCCTGAGTCTCACTGGTCTTTCTTGGGTGCCTAGGGTAAGATCACAGGTGACAAGAGGCATTAACCTCTGTGCCAGCAAAAGCCCTGACTGATGGGAGCTACCATTCAGCTGCCCTTGCACCTGGCCGTCAGAGCTGGGACAGCAGGTGGAGCTGGGAGCTGAGCTGCTCTCACCTGCCCGTAGGATCCTCCTCCTGAGGATGTGAACAGAGTCAAGAGAGCTGCTTGCTCAACTCGGGGCCAAGCAGGTGACAGAGACCTCTCCATTCTCGCCTTCCGTGCAGGCCGTGTTCCACATGCAGTCGGTGAAATGCCTTAAGTGTCAGGAGCAGACCCGGGCAGTGCTGCCGTGCCAACATGCTGTGCTGTGTGAGCTCTGTGCTGAGGGCAGCGAGTGCCCTGTCTGCCAGCCTAGTCGGGCCCATGCCCTCCAGTCGTGACCCTGCAGACCTGGCCCAGCTGGGCCCAGACCTTTTCTCCTAGGACTTTTTAAAGTATATATATGTATGTATGTATGTATGTACGTATGTATGTATATGTATATGATTATGTACATGTATACATTTCTGTGTGCGGGTGTGTGGTGCCAGTGTGTGCACAGTGTCTGTGTGTGTATCTGGACATAGGTAAAGACACACACTTTAAAACAGACTTACCAAGCACTTTTTAAAGAAAGACTATTTTGCAGTCCCCTCCTGTCCATTCCCCATCCTTCCTGCTCAGAGACAAAGTCCCCTCTTTTCCCACTGGCCTTTTGGCAGTGAATATGTTTTTGTCTCTTTTTTTATGTAAGAACTAACTATTTTTAACTTCTTCCTGGGGCCAGAGCAGGGAAGGATGGGAAGCTGGGAGGGCAGGCTCCATTCACCCTGCATTCCAGGCCAGGGTCTGTCACAGTGTGGACTCAAGTCCCCAGCTCCCAGCTTTGAGGGCTCAGGGGAGGCCTGAGACTTTTAAGCCAGCCTAGCTCCTGGTTTTACCAAATATGTCTTTAACCCCGGGGACAGCCACGGAGCTGGCAGGCCAAAGCTGCAGGCTAGTCCCACTCCCATACCTGGGCCCTTGGAGCTCCTCAAGGATCAAGGCCTAGCTCTGTCTGTCCCTCAGAATCTTCAAGCCTGGTCTTCTCCTTGATCATTTCTTCTGCGATCTCCAGGACAGCCTCTTTGGCCCCACAGTCACCTGACAGATTGGCACTGCCCTCACCTGTCCCTGCCTCCCTCCCTCTGGCACATGGCTGTAGGGCCGATGGCTCCCTCCCTCTGGCAGCTAGCAGGGCGATTGTTGGGAGGATTGCAGTCTGAACCTCCTGGGAGACGTTGTATGCATTCCTTGGTGCTCTTTGAGTGCGGCTGAGGTACTGCCGTTGTGGGCAGATGCCTGTGTGCATGTGTGTGCGTGCCTGTCCGATGTATATTGTGTTTAGCTTCAATTTTAAAAACTGTTCTGTACAGAGATGCAGTGGATGGGAAAGCAGAGTGGGCAGAGGGAGGCAACCCTGCTCCCAGCACTGGGTGTCCAGTGGGCTAGAGAGGGCTAAGAACATCTGCCCCAGCCCAGGCCCCTCCCTTGGGCTTAGCACGAAAGGGCTTTCAAAGAATTAAGTGAAAACTTTCTCCTTTTTTACAAAAATGCAAAAATCAACAAACTTGGAAATAAACCATGAACTTGCAGTGCCGTGTTTGTGGGGAACGGGTCAGCAGAGGATGCCGTCCAGACTTCCCTAGAGTCTGTCCAGTGTCCAGTCCCTGAGCCCATCCTAGTGGAGACTGTCAGCCTTAGCCCGACCTCCCAGACTGTGTGCCTCCTGTCCAGGGTTCTATGGTGCATTATTGATGGTCTCCGAAAAGTGACGGACAGGAAGGAGGAGTGTGTCACTGAGGTCCCCTGCCTCCCCCTCCCTCGCACTGAGGAAGTACCCTGCCTTAGATAAACCCTTTTACTCTGTTCCCCACACCCAAGCCAGGTGTTCCGCCTGACCTCAGCTAGCCTTGCCACCTCCTATTTACGCGCAGACTGAGTTTATCAAGGTCAAGTTTGACGACCCCCAGGCCTAAAGCTCTGACTGCCAGCGTTCAGGAGACCCTCCACACACAGCCTGCGTCCAGAACAGCTACTCAACCTCATGGTCCCCCAACACCAGATCCCTGTCCTGGACAGCGATCACAGTAACTGCTAGGTAAAGTGTGTTCAGAGTCATGGCCGAGGTGAGGTCTGAAAGGTGGCTCAGCGGTAAAGGCGCACAGCACCCAAGTCTGACCGCCTGAGATCGATCCTGGAACCCACGGTAGGAGACCCAGCCCCTGATACACACTGCTCCAGGGCTGACCTCTGCTTCGTGGCCACAGGGGCTCCAAGAGCCAGGTGGGGCATGCACCATATTCTGAGGAGGAGGCAGGCATGCAGGGCCTGACAAACCTGGGCCCACTGCGAGCCAACTATAGACTCTCCGAGGGCAGTGGGTAATGTGTTATTTTTATTTTCACTAGGAACATTTCTAGGTGGCAGGTGCTGTCTGAGGGAGGAAGCCTATTCTGTAGACAACCAAACTGTCCTTTCTGCTGCCGCCCCATCTGTGCCAACCCTGCTTCCTGCCAGCTCTCACCTCCTGCACCAGGGCGGCTTTGACAGGATCCTCTCGCCCTCTAAAGTCTGCCCACAGCCCTGGTCCCAACTGCCTGGGCCCTGCCCCAGTAGCCAGAACTGGCAGTCCCTGAAGGCAGATGGCCCTCAATGATTCCTTTCCTAAAGCAGCTTTTCTGGAGGGAGGAGCAGAGACAGGAAGTACTCCTCTGTGCTGGAATGTGGCAGAGAACAGACCAGGGCAAGAGGGGAGGGGCAAGAAATGATAACCATCTAGACAGTGGTGGAGCACACCTTTAATTAATCCCAGCACTCAGGAGGCAGAGGCAGGCGGACCTCTGAGTTTAAGGCCAGCCTGGTCTACAGAGCAAGTTCCAGGACAGCCAGGACTGTTACACAGAGAAACCCAGTCTTAAAAACAAAAGATAAATACTGGTCATGGTATTCCAGCACCAAGGGCTGTTCTGCCAAGAACTCTGGGCCCTCTGCCTACCGGCTCTCCTGTGTTACCCCAGAATGAAGGGCGGCTTCCTTCCCTTTGTCAGGAAGACCCTAAACTTCCAGGCTTCACTTCCACGGCTACCGTCCCGGGGGTGGGGCATGCTGGGAGGCCTGCTTAGCTCGCTGCCTCCTCAGCTTCACAAAGGCCTGGGCCTCGCGATCTCCCTTCCGGCTCTCCAACAACTGCAAAATTGGATCCCCTGTGGAGAGAAAGATTTGAAGGTCAAACTCCTGGTTAGAAAATAGTATAGTGCTGGTTCACCCCTATGCCAGCCTTGAAGGAAATTGGTGGGCACACACAAGCTAAATTCCACAGGTATGTCTTGACAAACAAAACTGGAAACATGCCGGGCGGTGGTGGCGCACGCCTTTAATCCCAGCACTCGGGAGGCAGAGGCAGGCGGATCTCTGTGAGTTCGAGGCCAGCCTGGTCTACAAGAGCTAGTTCCAGGACAGGAACCAAAAGCTACGGAGAAACCCTGTCTCGAAAAATCAAAAAAAAAAAACAAAACTGGAAACATGATGGGTCGTGGGGTGGAAACTACTGCCTCTTTCCAAGAGAACCCGAGGCCAGACAGCTAACTCCACGTCAACTTACTCCCTTGTAAAAGAGTGTGAGCCTGCTCACCAACTTGTGAGAGTTGGAAGTCAATACCTAAGATACTTTTTAAGACAATCCAGCTGGGCGTGGTGGCGCACGCCTTTCATCCCAGGATTTGGGAGGCAGAGGCAGGTGGATCTCTCTGAGTTCAAGGCCAGCCTGGTCTACAAAACCAGGCTGTGAGTTCCACGACAGCCAGGGCTACACAGAGAAACCCTGTCTCAAAAAACCAAAATAGACAGGGTCCTTACTATGTAACTCTAGTTGGCCTCAGGCTGACAGCGATCCACCTGCCTGGAGCACTGGGTTTAGAGGGGTGTGCCATCACACCCAGCCCTGAGATACTTGAGTGTATCTCATGACACACAGGCATAGGGACTTTTCTGTTATCAGACTTGGCACGTGTGCCCTGCACAGAGATCAGGCCGCCGGTCACAGGAGCTAATCCGTTTCCCCACCGAGAGAATCACACAATTACTTTCAGAGCTTGAATTTCACTGGTCTCTCCATCAGAGAGGAGATTTGTGAAATACTCAGCAAGCTGAGCCACAGTGCCTGTTCTATGGGTGTTCATCTCCCAAGAGAGCCCTGCCCTGGGACTCGGGCCTACCGTTAGGTGCAGGGTAAGTGAGAGGCAAGCGAGTCTGAGGGGCTTCGCCAGGCTCCTCACAGCCGGTCAGTCCAGGCACCCTGCAGAGTGGCAGGAAGGCCTCCCCTTCCAGGTCATCGGCTCCCAGCCTGTCATGGTCCAGCACGGTGAGCAGGAGGCATGCCCAGTCTTTTTGGCACGGCTCAGCAGGCACCAGGCTGGCAGGGAATTAGGTGCTCAGTTAGTTCCCTGCCTCACTCAAATCTGCCATCAACGGTCCCTCCCTCCAACATACAGAGTCCCCTATGCTGAGAACAGCAGTTGCCTCTCAGCCTGGTCATCTCTCACATGGCGTAACACCCACTCTCATCATGGGCTGACTTTACAGCCAGAGGTCCTGTGACCTCAAGGCCCATCTTCAACAAAGAGCAGGTACCCGAATGCCTCTGTATTTGATAGGAATCCATCCCTTCCTCCCAGGGACACATACACCTGTCCCAAGAACTTTTCCCCTCAGGCCCAGTGTGGTCATCTCAAGCACTCCTTATAGGAGGCGGGGTATCGAGGGAGGGAAAAGGGTGGGGGAACAGAGAAGAGTAGGGACCCACTCACAATTCAAAGGTCTCATCAAAGAGTGGGTGGAGTTCCTTCTTATGCTTCTGGGTCTCCCTGGGGGCCAGCTCAGGGAATTCATGTCTGGGTTCCAGCGTCAGCTGGACAAAGGGGTCACTGGCACCTGGCAAGTGGCCCGGATGGGGGCATTGCTGACTGAGTTCCAGCCACCACGGCACCCCACACTGCTTCACCCCCCCCCAGCTGTTATCTTAGTCCCCTCCTGATAACCAGAGGAAATGTGCTCAGAGCTCCCGCTGAGCCTCCAGGATCCTGGTGAGGAGAGGCCCAGGGCAGCCAGCGCTCACCATTAGAGTCCAGAGGCAGCAGGCTGGAGGCACTGAGCAGCTCCACGTGAAGCTTCTGCTCAGAGGCGCGGTAGGAGGCCTTGATGGTGACAGCACCCAGCGGCTCAGAAGTGGTTTCAGCCTGGCATGGGATCATGCATAGGCATCAGCTGGGAGGGAGCGGGGCGAGGCCCGCTGTGACCCTCGGAGGGTGCAGGGCAGGAGGAGTACCTCACCTGCTGCTGGATTCGGCTACAGAAATACTTCTGGATGAGCTCCCGGCTGGAGGCCGCCTGCAGTTCCAGGTCCCTCTGCAGATCCTGGAACGGCATAACAGGGCATCTACCCACACTTACGCTGCGGCCAGGCCCCCCTCGCAGAGGGTAAGAGGCCATAGGAAGTGCTGGGCCCTAGGACCACAGAGAGGCAGAGGTGCCAGACGGCCTGCTCTGAGCACACTCTCCCTAGTGCGGGCATGTAGGTACCCTGAGCCTAGAAGGACACTACACTTACATTATTTCTTTCCAGCATCAAAATTTGTAATGATTTTGAATAAGAGGCCCAATGTTTTGTATTGCACTCTGTTTCATGAGTGATGTAGCTGGTCCTGGATACAGGTGGATACAGAAAGACAGGCTCCCTGCCTTGACCTCTTAATTAGGGCCTCATCAAAAGACCCTAACTAGGCCCCAGGGTCATTCTCCACACTGCTAAGAATCTTACCTGGAAGGTGGCTGTGTGCAGGGCCTCTGGCGGCAGACCACAGCCCTCAGCGTGGAAGCAGACCTCCAGGCTCTGGGGAAGAGAAAAGAAGTGACTGCAGGTACCCCAGGGTTAATGTCCTCCCATCCGCCGGTAGGTACAGTTACCTGAAGGGCTGCCTTCAGCCTGCTAGAGGCCAACGGCGAGCTACGCTGCGAAGACGCCACCTCCGCCAGCACCGTGAGCGTGTGGGTCCACAGCAGAGTCAGAAGGCTGCCAGGTGCCGGACACAGGCCAGGCAGCAGGGAAAGAAGCAAAGGTGCTCTTCAGAGAGGGGCGGCCTCAGGAACCCAGGCTCACCCTACCTCCCCTGCCCCACCTCCCCGTCCACCAGTTCAGCAAGTGAGGCTGGGGCAAAGCTGGCAGAGGGGGTACCGAGGAAGGGTTGCTCTGGCAGAGGGTGAGAGGGGAGTACCAAGGAAGGGTTGCTCTGGCAGAGGGGGTACAGAGGAAGGGTTGCTCTGGCAGAGGGAGAGAGGGGGTGGTAGAGGGGGTAAAGAGGAAGGGTTTCTCTGGGAGAGGGTGTAGAGAGGGTACCGAGGAAGGGTTGCTCTGGGAGAGGGTGTAGAGAGGGTACCGAGGAAGGGTTGCTCTGGGAGAGGGTGTAGAGAGGGTACCGAGGAAGGGTTGCTCTGGGAGAGGGTGTAGAGAGGGTACCGAGGAAGGGTTGCTCTGGGAGAGGGTGTAGAGAGGGTACCGAGGAAGGGTTGCTCTGGGAGAGGGTGTAGAGAGGGTACC